CCCAAGAGTATTGTATCCATCCGGTGGAACCACATAACCACATCTTATCCTTTTCCTTATCTACGATGGAGAATATGAGTATTCCCTCTCAGTCGTGCTGTTTTGGAGCACAAAGTGAGCACAGTATGAGGAAAAATTTCTCCTTCGGCCAAACTAGATCACGATGTCATGGCTTTTTGAGCCACCAGCCTGCCAGGCGCCTCATTTTCGTTGGCAAGTACAAGGCTAATTTCTACGGTAAACGATGCAAAAACGAGCAAGCGATTTAATTGTTCTGTCTGCGGGGTCTCTTTCAACAGGGTCATGAAGTAATTTGACCAAAATCTCCTTCCAGACCAACTAGCCCCGAGAAACTCCTACGATTTGGCGCGCACTTCAACAGCATAACTGCCGATCTGATCAAAATTGTGCTCTAACTTGATTCACCTCTTAACTGAACGGAGACAAAACAGCTCAATCTATTGCCTCACTCTCTTGGCTGACCACTTATCATTCCCTAGAGGTTCTTGCGATCTATGCAGACCATTTGACCGAACTTCTGTTCAGAAGCAAGTCTGGTTGTCTGTCCAAAATACAGGCTATTCTCTCAGCTCTGTTTCCCTCAATTCACTTGCTTTCCCGATCTAGACGAGGTGACGTAGAATGGTTATTTACGGCTTATTCTCCGTCGTCAGCCAGCCATTTAGGCAGACCTCAGGTTTGAACAAGCGTCAGCTTGGTTAGTGGCCAAACATTCTGCCACCAGAGATACAGTAGGTAGACTAACTTATGAAATGTCAACTGAAATTCCGAAATGTGTTTTTGTTTCGAAATGATTTATTAAGTAAGACTGTAAAATTAATCATCATGAAGCATAATTCTATAATAATTCAAATACCTCCGGATGCCGGATTCCGAACGAACTACTTTCCGGCTGCATAGAAAAACCGCACTCCGTAAAAAATTATTACTCAAGTAGTATGCATGTTTCTCATTGATTTTCAATGCACTTAAAAAATCAATTGTATTTCATGGAAAACATGTGCGAAAATATTTATTCTTTTGCGCATGCGGTAGGAAATTACGTCTTCTTTCAATTTTACACTCGAAGGAAGGGTGTAATTCGGTTTTAAAAACGTTTCTAATTGTGAGATTATTTAATACCGTGAAATGGCCGTTCATAAGGTGTCATATCTCTGCATTTACCAAACTGGCTTGTAAAGATAACAATATGGTTCAAATCCATTGTTAAATTTTATGAATCCCGTATAGTCTCCTCTTAATGCCGTAATGTATGGTTTTCCGCACGCGGAAAATATGCGGGTTGTAGATTGGAACCCTGAATGTAAGCGTAAAGGCAGATCGGATTCAAAATTATTGGGGAATTGTAAAAAGTTGTTGAAAACCGAATTATACCCTTCCTTTGAGCATCAGATTGGAAGAAGACGTACCTTTCTACCGATAAAGCAAAAGAATGAATATTTTGTGCATGTTTTCCATGAAATATAATTAATTTTCAGGACATTAAAAATCAATGAGGAAGATACATGTCACCTAAGTAGTCATTTTTTACAGAATGTAATTCCTGCATGCAGCCGTAAAGAAGTTAGTTCGAAAGCCGGCATCCGGAGGTAACTGAATTATTATAGAATTATGCTGCAGGATGATTAACTTTACAAGCCTACTTAATTGATGTTTTCAAAACGAAAATCCATTTCGGAATTTCAGTTGACATTTCATGATTTTGCCCACCTACTGCATGTATGGACTCATGTGCCCCGCCAACTGCCACCAGGAAGGGTTAAAAGCGCGTGGAAAAGTGTTCACGTAGCCCAATGGTTAGAGGCGCTGACTTATAAATAACAGGTCGCGAGTTCGAGCCTCGGGTGTTCCACACTTCGGGGTTGGGTATGGCTGGCTGACGACGGCTAACAAGCCAGAAGTGGCCATTCCGGTCTCCCTTGTCTTTGTCGGTAATGTCCTTCTGCCTATATCATGCGCCGCTGTGCGGCTGCTGGTTGGGCTCGAGAGAGAGTCCATAAGGCACAACGGAACGAGTGAGTTCCCTAAGAACGATCGGTGAGCGTCCACTACCATTGTATATTCCCGATCGAAACCGACAAAGCAACGGGCTCGTGGCCCAGAGGTTCGAGGCGCTGGCTTCTAAATAACAGGTCGCGAGTTCGAGCCCCGGGTGGTCCACACTTTGGGGTTAGGTATGGCTGGCTGACGACGACTAATAAGCCAGAAATGGCCATTCCAGTCTCCCTTGTCTTTGTCGGTAATACCCTTTTGCCAGTGTTCACTATGTTGACCTGAGTGCAGGACGGAGCAATTGGGTTCTGCTTTGTTTGACCTTTCAGTTCCTTCTGTAAATCTGGGCTGGCCTCCGCCAGTACTCACGCGGAAAATACATTAGTGACTCTTTTGTAAGTAAAATCATGTTTGACAGTGTTGTGACGAGGAGATGAATATCAGTTGAGCGCACAACAGGGGGAAGTATGTTCAGGGTTTCCAGGGGGAAATTCAAGGGCCTGAAATAGAACTTCTTGAGGTACCTATATTTATGGTCAAAATTCCCCGCTAGTTGCAAGCGATCCACGATGTTTTAATCAAAGGGCGTAAAAGGATTAAAAACTGTGACAATCGTACATAGATGTCCCTTAAATCAGGCCGAAGGACTTCTGACTCACAAAGCATCTTTAATGACTCCGCTTGTGTAACAGAGGGCTGTCGATCTTAGACGTTGTTCTCAGGAATCCGATTTCCCAGGAGAAATCCTTGAATACCAATGAATTCTTCCATCGTGTAGAACATCCTTGATACCACACAGCGATATTATTCCCTTTGCGTTACAACGGTCACCCAACTGCATTAAAACGTCCTCGGAAATGTGATTATTCTTCTGAAAAATGTCTACACTAGCCTAAACTACCCAATGGTCGTCAGAAAGGATATAGGAACATCGCGACTAAGGGAAATGGAAATTTTCTTCCGTTGTAATGAGAAACTGGGCTTGGTTTTCTAAGAAAATTTCCGACTATCTCTGTGGACATAGAAGTTGAACTTTACAGAATGATACCATTGTCAATGCCCTCTTCTTGTAAGCATACGTCTTAAAATGGTCCATGCAATCTCTCATCTAGCACTTTTCATAGAAAGAACTTGTTATTTGTCAAAGGAAGTACCTAATGGTCTACAGTCCACGAGAAAAAACAGCTCACAGTCAAAAGAGAATTGACGAAAGGCCCACTGATTAGACGACTTTATTGAAAGCATTCAATGGACTTACAAAGGTGATACGAATGGCCAGTAATCTTGGTGGTCGAGGTCAACGAATGACTTTGGCCTACCTCCTTATAATCTAACAAGAGGATCCATTAGCACTGTCTTTAAACACTCTCTGAGTCGACGATGGAGACATTCTTAAATGAGTCTACACCGCCTGCTTGCAAAGAAGCAGGACAGACACAAAAGTTATTCGTAAACAAATAGCTTCTGGTATCTGAAACAAATTCATTCAGGCAAAAAATGTCGAAAGTGCGATGGGTCGACAGCAAGAAGGTTCCCAGATCACAAGTCAGGGTAGACGGAGTTATGGGACAAACTCTACTGAGACGAGAGAGTGTACACGCAGCCCAGCAAGAAGCCGTCACACCAAGCGAGTGACAGCCATCGGGGCTCTTGCCTCCCGGAGCGAAGAGCGTGCGCCTACAGACGATCAGCATAGGAGGCAGCGACGATCGGTCTCGATCTCCCGCCACGCTGGTGCCGTCCCGCGTGACTCAAGCAGGAAGCGCGAGGCGGACTGAAGGCAGACTGAGTAAACGGTCGCAGTGACGGTCGAAGAAGCAAACTTCCATAGTACCCCATCGGTCACACCGAAGGTGGCGATCAACCACGTCGGAGGACTTGTTGATGCCTAAAAACCGGAGCAACCGACTGGTAAGGAAAGGGAACGCAGCGTCCATTGCCGATAATGTATACAGGAGGGACTTGAGTACGTGCTCCAGGGCAAGAGTTGAAGGAGGATGACGAAGTTGCAGTTGGAGGCAGCGGACACAGAAGGACAGAAGTAAGACGAGAGGGAGAGATGAAGGGTAGGGGAGGTGGAGAAACAGAGACCAGGGGACAACAAAGATTATCTGGAGGAGTGTCCAGAAGAGCAGTTTTGAGGCGGTTCACACTCATAACACCCTCGCGATTCCCGCACAGTGCACGAAACACCTTTCTCCCTCGAGAAATCACCCAGGAGGGCCGTCACAGGATGCTTCTAATGGCCGGCGAACTCGATCACATCGGAAGTAGACATGAGAGTATGTAACCAAGTCTTTTACAGAATAATACTCAGAGACCGATGTCTGGGCGAAGCTCGCGAAATAGTCCGCATAAATTGCAGGAGACAGTGCAGAAAGTTGGATGGATCCTCGACCGCACTGCAAGCGGTTAGTGGCATCATCTTGCGGGGAAGTCTGACAGCGGCGCTGAACGCTAGTTCATCGGCGAAGCAGGCGTGGTCTGACTTTATCATCGAGAAGACGTCTAGAAGGACCAAGAAAAATTTTCCATCCAGTTCTTCAGATCGTCTGGGGCAGGTAGGGAGGTTTTCGGCTGGGGGTTAAAAATCTCAAACGCTCCCTTGACAGCCGGGCGATAGGATGTCGTATGGATGTGAATACAGCGTAAAAAGGAGGGGAGAGACTGGAAAGGATGAAGCTCAAAATGGGCATTGTGATCAGGCGTAATGGTGGAGGGAGAACCGAAGATGGCAACCCAACGACTGAGAAAGCCCTTAGCCACTTTTGTGGCCTCGGCCTCAGGCAGAGGGATGGCTGCCGGACACCGGACGATGCGGTCCACACAAGATAGGAGCAGCCGTTGGACAGATGTAGGGGACCTACAATGGTCAGAAGGACGGAACTGGGCCTTGCGTCAGAGCGGGGGAAGGTGTCAATAGAAGCCTTTCTTGTTCTGTTGGACCTTGCTTCGCTCACAGTCAATAAATGCTCATATTTGAGCACTTAGGTCGTTGTGCACCCAAGACCAGGCACTGTACAGATTGAGACCAGGCCGTTAGTTGCTTGATTTCCAGAGCGAGAGATGTTTTGTCGGTAGAAAAAGACTTTGCAACAAAGGCAGGGTAGCACAGGGGGACGACAGGAGGCTGTGGAGCTGTCACAGAATGCCGTCGCCGGCAGGCATTGGGAGGCTCTGGAGTTGGAATCTGTAAACATCTTTTTAGTGTTATAAGATACCATACTGGAAACACAGGTGTTAGTTGAAAGCCCAGGCACGCGTATTTCGCCAACATTCTAACGTCAGAGTATACTACTAGTTGCCTGTCGAAAGTAAATGAATAGTATTTGGTTATCTCGCTGTGGCTGATGGACTTCGGCCCAAATATTCCCCTATCAAAATTCGGTCTGCGCATATAGTCCTTAGTATAAACTGATCTACTCCAATTTAGCAGTTGATTTCTGAGGAAATTAAAAAGCAATAGTCTGGAAAAATGTCCGTCATGGGACGAACCAACAGGATGTTGTTCGACAGCCATCTTAGAGGGTCTGATTCCGGAAACGAGTTGGCGAGGAGTAATGGGAACACGGACATATAGGGTGAAACATTATTCACTGAACTACCTGGAAAGGAAGCATTAAGAAAATCGTTCCAAACATATCTCCTTTAAAATTTGCGCTTGAAGTGAGGATGCGTTTCGCTTATAAAAAGTTGTCCAGGGTCATAAACTTTGAAATGTGTCGTGTTTCTTTACTTGGTAGTAAGGTTTAAAAGCTACGTTAATTGCTGTTGGTCTAAAATAGTTTCAACTATTTCGTAACGTTCGCACAAAGGGGTCTATCACTGTTTAAAAGATACACAGTACATTTTATCCACCTTGTATCCCCCGCTGAGCAGCTCCAACAAGTCCTGGATGGCATTTTGCAGGAATGGTCGCGTCAGCGGCTCGTAAAGTCTCAAACCTACTAACTGTTTAGAAGCAAAATAAGCCATCCCATTGGGTAACACTTTGATAAGATGTTATTTTCGATAAAATGAATGTATGGACTATTTTTTCCAACCTCGTTAGGAATGGTAGATATATGTATGCAGATGTCAAAACAGAGTAGGAGAAATACTTGTCAACTTATTCCTGATGGCATTTTTCAGAGGGGGCCTGAAAGTTCTTCACTAAAATACCGGAATGCTGCTATGTATCAATCGATTTGGGATAGTGTCCCATGCTAATTCGTTTTCCTCTGAGAGTATATCGGAAAACGCTCCATATCCAGTTGTCTGATGGGCTCCGACAATCGACTGATGCATTGGAGCGAGAAGAAATAGTAAGGCCGACACTGAGGAATCCGTTCCCACGACACGTCAGTGCATTTCTTGCCGTGATCTGCTTGACTCCATCATTATGCACCAAAAAATCATGGCTTTGAAAGCTGTCAACTAGAAAGCTAGCTTGGTCATTCTCGGGAATGCGAGTTCGTAATGCTCTCCCTCCCCCCCCTCGATGTAACCCTTGTGGCATTCTCACCTAGCTGAACTCCGAGTTGCCCGTATTATAGCTTCTCACATCGGGAGTAATGATAAGGTCGTGCATGCGGTGCACGTAGACGGGTTCTACAATTTTGTCGGTTGCTGCACCCGCGCCCATCTCCGGTCCTCTTGTCTTTATCTTACCAGGTGGGAGGGGGAGTTTGTGCAGTCGAATCTGTGCAAGTTTGACTCACTTTAAACTAATACGCACGCAAGTCTCCGCTACCGGGCCAAGTCTGTGGACCAGAGGGTGGACGTCCTTCACGACTACCAAACTGTCATGTAGAAAAATATCCGTCAGTATTTCACGATCTTCGACGCATAATGTGTTTATCCCTCGGCGTTTTCCTCTAAGTAGCTACAACCTTAATAGTGAGAATGTGGTTTTTATGCATAGCGTAGAACTCAAACGCCGGGGCGTCATTTTCAGAACCTTGCGCTGTCTCGGCTTGAAACTCCAACTAGATAATTCTGGAATCCAATTCTTTACAGGCAACTTAGCATATTTCTAACACAGAGGGCGAACCTTTTTCTCGGGAGGGAAAGGGACCTTCGGCAGATGCGCGTCAAACTTTCGGAATCACGAAAAGCTCTGTTTGGTAAAAGCTGCAGGTGCGAACAGCCACAAGCTTGCCAGAGGCTGAAAAGCCGAGTCTGCTCTCAGCACTGGGTTTTTCTTAATTAATGAGTCTATTTTAGGGGGTAAATAAACGCCCACGCGTTGCTGTGTGCTTGCGGTTCATCGTCAGATCAGAGTACACGTTTACTCCATTGAAGCCAAGTGGTGTGCGATGTTTCACGTCGTTTTGAGGTGAGGAAGTCTTTCACTGCACTGGGTGGTCATTTGAGTAGAACTTTTGGCACTGGAAGTGAAAATAACTGAGGCTTTTGCCAGTGTATGCGTATGTGACCCATCCTCCTACAGAAACACTGCTGACCGATCCGAAATACTGGTAAATTTCTGCAAGTTTCCTGGTATCCGCCTCGCATGGAGCTGGTTGCGCAATCATGGGCAATCAGCAATCGAGGGGTGTAAGCGACGATTTGGAGGAAGACTGGGATTGTCGTTTCTAGCCAATTTGGCGTCAGCAGTAGATTACAATCAAACCCAGTCCAGCCAAAACGGGAGCCTGAAGAATAAGTCCTTTGGTTATTAAGCACCCAGTCCGAAAGTTCACTACTGAGTCATGGGTTCGTTCCTTCTGACATGCGATCGAGACTTTCGAAATCAAGAAGGACGGTTTAGGTCTCCTCCCTCAAGTTGGAGCGCGGGTTGCGGGTGACGGCAACGCCAAATGATCCAACAGTTACTTTTGCCCTTTTCCACAAATTGTTTGGCAACGGTACTTGGTTTTGACCTCTATAGTGTTTTAAAGATAAGAACAGATTCATCTAAAGCCCTCAGAGTACGATTGCATAAGCGTTCTTTAAGCAGAATTAATCTTATGGAGATTCATGCACTAAGTCCTTAAAAAATCCCCTGTATGCTGCACTGAATTATAAACCGGTAGCGGACGCCTGATTCAGTATCAATAGATATTTTGGTAGACTTTGAATAATCCATTCTGGCCCAAATTTTAAAAACCGGACACCTTCGGTGGGATTCTTGCCCACGACAGAAAGGAAAGACCTTGGTATGACCAATGCTCCAGCCACCTAAGTTACGAGGCCCACCGGCAGACGTTGGTTTAATCGCAGTTGGGTCAGGTGGCTAAAGTGCTAACTTGAAGAAAAAAAAGACACGATCGCCGGGACAAGAGCTTTATTAGCCTGACGTTTCGGATTCCTGCTCGAAACCATCATCAGAGACATAAGCAGATAAATGTGGTTCATGCACATTCGGCTGCAGTAGCCATGCTACCTCATACCTATGTATATTCACGGCTCCCTCCCCTTCATCAGGGATCGTTGCACGTGGCGTGATGGCCGATATTCGCGTCGTTAATTGCTGCAATTTCATCACGTGCGTTGGATGTTGGTGTGATGATTGCTCGACCATCTGACGCGCTGACCCGGGTGTTGGGAAGTGTTCACCAGGGCGCTCCCAGGGCGCTGCTTGAGTCATGGTTTACTGGCCCCTAGTCTATTAACAAGTGCAATGATCTTCCCATTCATTACAGCGTGCTGCGACTTCGTCTAGGCGGAGTAATTGGCCACGCGGGGAGCGCCCTGGTGAACACTCTTCCCAACTATCACTATAAACTAATTCGCACCAAAGTCACTGTCTCTGCTTCAACTCGTTGTTGGAGCACACGGCGGACATCGTCGGCAACCACGGTCGAACTATCAAAAGCAGTCTGAGTACACAAGTGTGAACTCTGCGCAACTCTTTCAATGCATGACTGAACCATCATGACTTCCATTTTGATTTAAGGCAACATATTGTGCATATGCAAGAATTCAGACTGTATCCTCCAACGTCTGGAGTTAACACGCCGTGTTTAGGGAGTTTTGCCGCCTATCCTATTTAGTGCAAGTGTTACTAAACACAATTACAAACCCACGGCCACGTTCTTTGCTATCTAAAAAATTCTCCAGGCAGATAATATTCTTCATCCGTTTCGTTCAAAGGCTAACCTAAAAATGTGCTCCGCGCTTCCCATGCTTTAAAGTAAAAGAACGCCATCTTGAATGCTTGAAGGTTAATGAAAATTCGGCATGCAGAGCCCTTTATATTATCAGTTATATAATCAGCCCACTCTATCATGGCCTTGTAAAGTGTTTTAATGAAGATATATAAGGTTCCTGCAGGTGTAGTAGAGTTTGATATGGAAAGTCCGGTAAGTGTGGCACCCTAGAGGCAGCCGGTTCTCTCCATTTATGAGGTGGAAAGACTCCTACAGCCGTGAAGGCCTTACTGAAGCTTCGTAAATTCGCAACGTTTTCTGATTTAAGATGATTTGCAAGAACTCCTCGGATATATTGAAAAGCACAGCCTCAAGTCCTAGTGAAAACTAACTAAGTGTTCGTATCTAACGCATCCATGCGCCTAAAGTCAGTACAAACGGCGCCTGAATGCCTCATTTTTATGGGCTACCTCATGCAGTCTCTCCCGCGCTTTGCCGAGGAAATTTGTTTTTGGAAAGTAAAATCTCCACTTCGTAGACATCCACGATTCAACAAGGATATTTATAAAAGTACAAGGGTTCCGCCAAAACATTTCTAAGAGCTAATCGTTTATCGCATGGAAGGCGATAAAATGCTCATGTTGTAGCGTTGCCCTGCGACTGCTGTTTACAAGTTATTTTTAAAATGCCACAGAATTCTGAGCAGAAAATACGCAGGGCTCATGATGGCTGTATGCTATTTCACCTTCGCCCAACTGTTATTAACTATGACGTTTTAGCACGACACCCTTGTAACCGTGGTTAATTGGCATCTATTAAGCATTTTTGATATAAATGTCCTTACTAGGGACATTTCAAACTGTCCGCAAGCAGTAATAGTTTTAGAAAACAAAAACAGGGTTCTGGAATGCATTTCGGAGAAGTCAGCAGCGATGTTAAGACCAAAGTTCTTTTTGCCCGTCGTTTCGAGGGGCTTGGTCATCCGACTACTTACAAAGACTGAAACCTGCATAAAGTTTAGTGTTCTCGTTTAGCAGTTGGGATGGGCCATCCGCCCTGCCGTACCATTTCCATTTTATAACCAGAGGCAGACGTCGGGGTCGACAGCTGCGTCCAGATATGATGGGTTTACACAGACAACAGGTTTATCTTCACTCACAAAATCATTTACCCACACTCTCAACTCAGAAAATAACTAAAAATCTAAGCAAGTCCCTTCGTACCGTGACGAATCTTCATGAATATGTACAGTATGTGGGCTAACTCATGAAATGTCAACCGAAATTCCAAAACGCGTTTTCGTTTCGAAAAGATTAATTAAGTAGGGTTGTGAAACTGGTCAGCCTGCAACATAATTCTATAATATTTCGGTTACCCCAGGACGCCGTCTTTCGAATGAACTTCCTTCCGGCTGCATACAAAAACTGCACTCCTTAAAAAATGACTACATACGGAGCATGAATTTCCCTCATTGATTTTCGATGCTCCTAAATGTCCAATTATATTTCATGGAAACCATGCATAAAAATATTCCTTTTCTCGCTCATCTGGTAGAAAATTACGTCTTTGCCCAATTTTATACTTGATGGAAGGGTATAATTCGGTTTTTAACAACTTTTTCCATTCCCGAATAATTTTAAATCCGCTCTACCGCCACACATGCATTCAGCGTTTTTAAACTACAGACCATATATTTTCCGCGTACGGAAAACCACATATTTCTCTACGGTAATAAAGGGGGACCATATAGTGTTCATAAAATCAAGCAGTGGATTTGATCCATATTGTTAATTTTACAAGCCTCATTGGTAAATGCAGAGACATAACGTTTTATGAACGGCCATTTCACGGTATATAAAAGTCCCACTATTAGAAACCTTTTGAAAACCGAATAACGTTTCTCGTTCGAGCCTAAAATTAGAAGACGTAAGTATCTACCGAATGAGCAAAAGAACGAATATGTTTGTGCGTTTTTTCCATGAAATATAATTGGACATTTAGGGACTCAGAAAATCAATTAGGAAAATTCATGCTACGTATGTAGTCTTTTTTGACAGAGTGCAGTTTTTGTATGCAGCCGGAAGGAAGTTCATTCGAAAGACGGCATCCTGACGTAACTGAAATATTATAGAATTATGTTGCGGGCTGACCAGTTCTACAACCCTACTTAATTAATCTTTTCGAAACGAAAACGCATTTCAGAATTTCGTCTGACATTTCATGAGTTAGCCCACCTACTGTACATTAACTCTATCCGTCTCAACAGCATATCGCTCGTCGGATATGCACGATCAGGCAACTGTTACACCAAATAGGAACAATCAGGGCGAATGCGAGGACTGTTAACTTTGATGGGTAACTCAGCCCCTGTTTTTCCACAAAAATTCTCAGTGTCTGACTCTTTTGGCGGGCTAGACTGAGAATCCGAACGCGCCCCAGTTATTTCAACTGCTTCCTGGTACTCACCGTCAAGATCCAGTGAAACCCCGTGTGTGAAACTTGTATTGATCCCTTAAGTGAGAGCTGTTATTTGTAAGTAATGTACCAAATCTGAGATCTCCTGTGTACTCATAACTTCTATAAGGATTTCATGTACTCTTGAAGGCTTTTCGATCCTAGGAGATTGCTGGAAAACACTCATCATCTTCCTATGAAGCTATGACCAGAGACGTTTCCTTTCACTCAGCATCCCGTCAGTCATTAGAAAGCAGTCCTACTAATTTTAGGATGAATAGTGCGTTGCTGGGTCACTTCGGTCCTTTAATCTAGGGCCCTCGGAGCGCAGAGCACAAAAACAACCACAACGAATAATTAACTGAGGAGCATTGCACGCAGAAAACAGCGGGGACTGCGGTGGGCACTCTTGGATCATTTATTGTCACTCTCCGATCAGGGACGAAGAGGACATGGTCACCGGAACAAGAGTTTCATCCGCCTGGCGTTTCGGATTCACACTCGAATCCATCCCCAGAGGCAGAATTAGATTAGGGTTATTTATATCACAACTCCAGGCCGTGAGGACCGACACCTTGAACCCATAAGGTCGGGACCTCAGCTGAAAGGCAAAGCGGGAAGTCTCCTCCGGTCTACATGCAGAGCAGATCCGTATTCACTTCGTGATCTCAAGTAACTGAATATTCCTGATCATAGTCTACGGATAATGAGCCTGCAGGTCAGGCAGTAGGGTGTTGAGTCATCTGACCAATTGGGCTCGGAATCCTCGCTGTTTGGCGCGGAAGCATAACTGTCTGATGGCGAAAGCGACACTTTTAGTTTTCCCATCTTCTTCGTTATAAATCCCAAGCTTTTAAAAGTCGGACTCTTATAAGATCGCCTTAAGGCAGACGCTTGGCCGGAAGTCGCTTGAAGGGCCTCGAAAACCAAAAAAGTTACCCTAAAAGTAAACAGAGCTTGCAAGATAAGTTTCAGACGCCGTTTTACGCCCTTATAGTCTTTTCCGACAGCTGGCAGTCAAAAAACAACACTGCATAGGGCTATTGACGAACGAAATTGGCCTGCCAAACACTTGCTTGCTTCATTGAACTCACACAAGGGAACACAGCTAACCATCTTTGCTTTCTTCTTTGAGATTTTGCATCTAGCAGTTAAGGAGAGTATCGTTAGGCCGGATGAGGTAGGTTAATACAAGACAAGACTCTATGAGAGCGAAAATAAATGGAAAACTTACGATTATACGTCTTCCATCGTCTCGAGAGGTAACTGGCACAAGGCAGAGGCGAACGTTTCAATTCTGCAGCTATGATCCCTGTAATACTCGGGCTACCCGACGGCTTAGTCTCGTCTTGAGTGATGTCCTTAGAGGGTGATTGACGTTGATCGTCGATAGAGGTCGCTGCAGGCGTATTCATTATGAAACTTCCTTGCAGGAGGATCTCGAACACTCAAACACACGGACTTCAACAGAAAATATCAGAACTGAATCGTCACCAATGGAACGTTTATTAAACGGTGGTCTGGGGAGGTGTGGGTCAAGGGATTTAGGTCAAAGGGCGAGGGGGAGAGACAACGGAGTGTGAAACCAGAAGGGGGCGTAGAAGCCTTCCTCTGATTTATCCTTCCTCCGGTCGGGGTGCCGGTACTTGTGGTTCCACCGTCAGCGCGTCCGATTCGTGCTCCGTCACCGTGGCTTCCAAGGAAACGGAATCTCACCCAGGGGGACGTTAACAAAAAAATCAAAACAAACCCAATTAAAAAAGCCTGTCCTTTACAATTCCAACTAAATGCTGACTTCGCTTTTGCGCGGGGGCGGTCAGGTACCGTGGGACTCCCTCACTAAGTTTTGTACTTATGACCCTTGTCGCTACAGTTTGTGGTGTCGCCAAAAATCGTGCTTTTAATAGCCATTCCAATTTTCTTAATTTAGCCTGCTGGTTTGTTAGAATTTGTAGGTCACATTTTGACAAACTGAAGGTCTAGGCTCAATCTTTCTGTCGGAACGCACGATACAAGCATTTACGCGTACAAGCATCGCTTACTCGAACCCACATCAATCGATCCGTTACACCCACCTCACTTGGAGACGCCTTCGCGCTAACTGTGAAAGCAACGGCTTAACTAAACCAATCGCAACCGTTCGCCACAGTCCACAGATATTTCGTCATTTGGACTAACTTATGACTAGCAGGTATTGTACAGAAGCGGTGCTCACTTGATAGACTTTTCTCAATGATGTGTTCGCCTAAAAGGCATGCATCAAGGGCCTACTAATTACTGTTAACAGCCGACAAATGTGGTAGCAGTAGCTTAATTAACAGATCGCCCAGCACCAACTGAGAGATCAGTCACTAGATTCCCAAGTACACTTAAGGCGTTTTCTACCAGCAGGTCTCTCAAGTCTCGCAGTCTGCTAACAAGATGAAGCAACTTCTCCAGAAATATTGACTGTGCAGGGCCTGGGGATACACAGCAGGTGGGCTTACTCGTAAAATGTCAACCGAAATTCCGAAATGCGTTTTCGTTTCAAAAAGATTAATTCCGTAGTGTTGTAAAACTAGTCAGCCTGCAACATAATGCTATAATAATTCGGTTAGTTCAGGATACCCAGTTTCAAACAAACCCCGTTTCGGCTGCATGCAGGAACTACACTCTGTAAAAAATGACACCATAAGTAGCATGCATTTTTCTAATTGATTTCCAATGCCATTAGAACGCCAATTATATTTCATAGAAAACATGCCCAAAAATGTTAATTCTTCCACTTATTCGGTAGAAAATTACTTTCTTATTGAATCGTATGCCCAGAAAGAGGGTATAATTCGGTCTTAAAAAGTTTCTAATTGTGAGATTTTTAATACCGTGAAATGGACGTTCATAAAACGTCATGTTTGTGCATTTACTAGTGTTGTTTTCAAAGTTAACAATATGGCTCAAATCCACTGCCAAATTCTATCAAACCCATATGATCTCATCTGAATACCGTAGAGAAATTTACGGTTTTCCGTACGCGGAAAATATACCCTGAATGCATGTGTAACGGCACGTCGAGATCAAAATTATTCGGGAATTGGAAAAGTTTTTTTAAACCGAATTATACCCCTTCTTCGAGTACAAAATTGAAAGAAGACGTAATTTTCTACCGAATGAGTAGAAGAATGAGTATCTTTATGCATGAATGCCATGAAATATAATTGACGTTCTAATGACATCGAAAATCAATGAGAAAAATGCATGCTACATGAGTAGTCATTTTTACAGAGTGTAGTTCTTGCATGCAGTCGGAAATAAGTCCATTCAAAAGCCGGCACCCTGAGGTAACTGGATCATAATGGAATTATGTTGCAAGCCGACTAGTTCTACAACCCTACTTAATTAATCTTTTCGAAACGAAACGCATTTCGAAATTTCGGTTGATATTTCATGAGTTAGCCCGCCTACTGTATCTTCAGCCCCAGCAGCCAATCACCTCGTTCCTTTGTTGCCTCTGCATTGTGCGCTCAAATACAGCACCGATGTTGCTGTCTGTGTCCTTGTGCATTTGCCGTTTTGTTCGGTCACGGGTGGTCGGTCGACAGACGCACCAAGTGCCGTCCACCGGCAAGCGAAGCCCTGGCGCGTATCCAAAGTGAAAAAAATCATCCAAGCTACGTGTGCTACGCGTGCGCCTTGTGATCATGCGCCGCGTACTCGGAATTTTGTCGGTCATAGACCGTGTTTAGAGGTCAAACGTCGCAATTGGCAACACACCATCCGCCGTATCTGCCAACTGAACACGTTAGAAGGTCGCGGTTGTGCCTACCCACTTCTCTACTGGAGTGTCTCTTCTCACTGTTCCAATACCGTTGAGAACCACCAGCAGTTCGAGGATACAGCTTAAAGCGCCCAAGTGTCTTGAGGTGCACCAAACTGTGAAATTTTGACATTACCGCAGAGCTGCACACTAAAGAGTTTCTTTACCACCAAACTCATGTGTGGGAAATGGTGTCGCGCCTTGAGTGTGCAGAAATTTTCTTTTGTCCAGTTGGGAAATTCACAGAGGTAGGATTGTCAGATGATATTCTAAAATCAACGCAAAACCTTGCAAAAAGGCATGAAGAATTCCAAACAAAATGCGAGTTGGTTCCGAGGTACCACGTCGCTAGCTAGAGAGTCAACTGTTAAATTATTTCTCCTTATTTAACAGAAGGTCCTGCTACAGTCACGGTACAGATAACAGTCCCTAAAAAGCCAGTCCAGTCACCGCTTTCTGTGACTGAAGTCCGCATAAGGCTTAAGTTAAGAATGATCTGGATAATAAGGGTGGTCCTCATTTAAGGTACGTTCTATTAGCTGTATGTGAATTGGCAGCAGAAAAAATGTTTTTAACCATTTATCTCCGAGTGAAGTGCGTAGCTATCACGGGCCATTCAGCCATCCAAGGAATGCTGTTAACAGCGTCGGGGTAATTTCATACAATGGCCTGAAATTCAACGAGCACGAATCTTGGGTGCTAGAGATGCTGAGGTTCCAAGGTGACTGACGGGTGTAAACATACCTAAGCAACGTAACAACGTGAAAAAAGACCGAAGTTCAGCTGGCAGCGACACTCGCTCGATCATCTTGCTTGCTTCAGGACTTCAAGACGGTGCGAGTAGTAGTCATCCTGATGTCACATGAAGTGACATCAGGCTCTGGTGATTTGTCCCTGCCACTACTACTTCTACCTTCTTTAGATTTAATCCACCACGCTGGTGAGACAAAGTGGACAGTAACTGTCTCAATGCGTCAGTTGAGCATTTGGCTTGAATGTAAAATACATCCCAGGTTCTAATAATCCCATTATTATACTAGTCGGTTTATGTTGCGCCCGTCATCCGGTTCTAAGTAGCGGACCGAAAAGAAGGCAGGTAATCGCGAGTTGGTACTACCAGGGGCAGGAAAAGTGGAATGAAACTTTTCACCCTAATTTTCACCGGCATCAGCCAGCCCCATCAAACCCAAAGTCAAAAAGACCTGACGTTTGAACTTGTTTCCGTTGATCATCAGTCATCTGAGTCAAAATCTGTACTATCCGAGTCATGGATTCACGTCATATAGGTTGCAATCGGGAGTATTCAAGCCTATATGAGAGTTTTGACTATTCCGGTAACCCTCCCCAGTCGCTGCCAGTAACATGTCCAGATTGCACACCACTCGTTTCTTCGCGAGTGTCATACGAGCGCACTGCCAGACACAGACCTTCTGGCAAGGACACTTCCACGCTAATTACGCAAGTACCAACTCGAATGATTTGAGTTTAACTTTCAGAAAATGGCTGTTGACAATTCATGTAAGTCATCACCTTTCCTAATGCTTTCTGCACTTCTCCGGACAGACCCGGGCAACAATTTATGAAAAAGGCGGTCGAGCTAAAAGATATGGATTCCCCGCATTACAGACGGCGTCGCCCTAAATTCCAGGAGGTAGTGTTATGATTGGTGTGGTGATTAGAGCTGGGGTTATGAGGGCCAGTGTCACAGCTAAGGTTAGAATTAGAAGGATTAGGAGTCGGGTATGGGAGTAGGAACCCCCCTCGCCGAAGTACAGGCGGCCTCGAGCTGAATTCTAGGAATACATATTAACATGTCATAGCACTAACCCAAATCCTAACCCTACATCTAACCCACCTGAAATTTAGGGCCAGAGTCCGTATTCCCATGCAAAACCGCGAAGGTATATTGATGCAATCTTAGGCGTCGGTTGCAGGAGCTTACACTTCGACAATGACTTTCAAAGGCTCTCTTGTTCCACAGTCACCTACTTAAAAACACTTTAACCATTATCTTAAACTTTCGTGTGGCGCACATTCAATGGCTCCAAGGTGGGCTTAAATATCAGTTGGCAAGCTCCCAGTCCCGCTTACAGCCAATCAAGCAGGTTGAATACTGCCGGATAAGAATCCTTTCAGAAAAACCGTGCGATATCTTTGTTCATGGAAACCCGCAGAGACAGTATAAACGGCGTGGTTCATGGCTCGTAAGACGAAATAACTCCCTCATATTAGGCGCAAATTCCAACTGTTTATCAATCACATAAATTAAGACAGTTCTGCCTTAGATTGTAGGTAACACGCGAGCGTCGAAAATTTAATGAAAGGCGAATTTACGGAGGACGAATAACAGGGGGGACTTAGCCAACAGTGACTAAGTCCGTGAAGCTAAAGTCGCGTGACTCTTTAAGGTGATGATTGGTTGCCATAGTATCATTCATGTGCATAGGCACCGACCTTCAGGGCATTGCCTCCTCGAGAAGGAAGAGGTGAAAGGGGGAATAAAATATGCTTGTTACCTACACAACTGGCGCAGACAATATGCCAGAACTTATGCCGGCCACTATGCCAGTCACCTCTGTGACAAAAACAATGCGAGAAACCTTGGAGTAAACGTTTCGGACCAAGCAAGTGCGCTCTACGTACACCACATAAACCAGTAAAACTGCCACGGTGCGAAATGCGGTTTTCAGAATGGTCCGTGAACTCTGACGCCTTGTAAGCCCGACAAAATCTCTTCGACTTCGTTAACTTGGCAGGAAATTTAAGGATAGGTCAGTACAACAAGAGTACTGCAGGTTGCACTTTCGATCATGACGGAACAAACGACTGAGCCATTCTTCTGCGTAAGGTAAAGCATTTCGTCAATGATGAAACCGGGCTTTCTCAGGTAGTCCAACTAGATCATGTTTTTAGAAATGTATTTACAGCCCGGCTGCTTTATTCATTCCTTCTAGGAGTGCCCGCTCGTAACTCGTGAAAAGTATTCGTATTTTCGACCTATTCTTAAATAAAGAACGAACGCTGTTTAAAATTAGCGTAGTTGAAAATAGCAACTAATAGGATTTACTAATAGTTCATTTTAATTGCTGAACAATAACTGTTGTTTTCCAGGCATCAGAACCAAAAAGAGTGCTCACCGGGAAAATGCTAACTATTAAGCTGACAATCCCGTTGGTGATTATGCCGCTTAAAATAATTTCTATCCCTAAGGCTATGCGTACAAACGAACAAACAGAATCAAATGAATGTTAAGCTGTATTGCCGTGTTTTTGTCCTGACTCGGGTTTCAAAATAAACCGTCCTTATCTATCTTTATCACATTTAATGCAAGATAGGAGTCTAAGGAGGGGAATTTCTCTTTTTATAACTATTGCAGCCGCACCCTTAAAGTGGTTTGAGTCAGGGGATCTAGTTTAAATCCATTTATTTCTCGGAAATAACATTCTCCGGACAGGAGCTGGGTATATTCAATGGATGGTACCTTATATTTTGATTTTTGGAATTACAAAACCAACGTGCACTTTACAGAAGTCGGACATGTTCGTTGTCTACTGGTAAAGGACATATCAGAAAGCATCCATAAATCCATTCGGAAGGAAACAATAAATGGTCTGATCTTATTTATCAGCATCTTCGATCACGCTACCTGGCAGATCGTCCCTGTCATATATTGCACTTAGGCATAAAGTAACCATTGATCTTTGAGCTAATTTTATTTTGTCATTTTAAAAATTTAAGAAATGCTTTTTCAGTAGGCCGGCTGAAAAAGAGCCGGGTTTGGGCAGCCCGTCTAAAAAAGGTGTCTTTTACATATATGCAGTTGCCGCTGGCCAAAGTAGGTAATGGCCTGCGAGTCGCGGACGTCAATTTGTCGCGACATCCCCAAGCAGGGCGCCGAAAGACACGCGGGTCAGATTTCAGCCTGGATAGTGAGTACAGGGATTGGCCACGGAACCAGGGCCAGAGCGGGAAGAGGATCGCTTCACAGCGTCAATGGGTCATTGGCTGGCACAGCCTCAGTTCCGTTGGGGGAGCCCAAGCGGCAGTGGTGGGACATCGGACGCAGCCCTTACAGGTGGCATCCGCCGTGATCTCAGGGGCCGAATAGGAGAGTACCTGCTGACCGCGACCATGCTCATTACCACTGATGGAGAGACCTACCAATTTCTGCACGGGCACGTGGTGGTCAACATGGGTAAGATGAGGTTCGGAGAGGGACCGAGTTATGGGAGATCCTGCTGATGCCAACTGACTCCCGCAGGGTGCTGGAGTTGCATTTACCTCTGGCACTGTCTCAACGCCGACAGGCTCAACACCAGCGGCAGAACGAGGAGGAAACACAAAAACCCCTTCAGCAGTTGAGTTGGAGCAGCTTTTTCGTGGAGACTTTTTAGGTCGAGACTGTTTGCCACTAGCGTTCTGCATTGACTGCTCGGCAGAAGTCGGATTTACTGAATCAAACAGTCGATCATCCACAGTATCCACCTCTTCGTCTTCAGCGCATGAGGACGAGGAGGAAAATGAGGAGGAGGGGCGCTTAGAGCCTGCAGTAACACTGACTGGCAGAGCTGGGGGGTGAGGCAAATGCGCTGGTGGGGTACTGGAGAGGTCTGGGCGCTGCCATTGTTCTTGTTGTTGTTGTTGCGGTACCGGTCCGCCTGATGCGTTAGCGGCGTTGATGTTGGAGACCTGTTGAGAATTCCCTTGACGCGGTTGGTCTGACTGTGCTATATCCGAGTGTACGACCGAGTTCCTAGCCTCCGGCTGTGGCTGACTGTACATCAACATTTGACTGACTTTTTGGGCAATCTTGCTGATAAGTAATTGTTGCAGAAGACTACTCCGCCGGATGACCCGATTTGGTATCCCGGGTTGCTGCTGCTGCTGCACCTCCTGGTTCGACTTTGTGCCCGGTTCCCCTGCCGGCGCCTGTTGTGGGGCCTGACCATAGCCACGGATACGACGCACCTTTTCTATCGTGATTCGGGTGACATTAGCCAGCAGGTTTGCGTTCATGTCGGGATAGATCTCAATAAAGGCCTCCATAGTGCAGTGGAAAATGCACAGTCTAGGAATGACGTGAAATTTATAAGCGGCAAAGTTGGCGTCCGTGCTGGGGTAGTGTCAGCGATGATGACGTTGGCATGGCTGTGTCAATAGCGGGCGTATAATCACAATAGGCATCTCCGGTTGGCTCCGACACGTGTGGGCTCATGTGCGTACGTCTATGTTCTGGCGCGGCAACCCACCTTCTCTGAGAGTGTTTGTGGGCGTGTGTGTGTGTGTGTGTGTGTGTGTATCGTGGCAGTGTGTGTGCGCGCGCGTCTACGAAAAAATGTGCACAAAAGGCGAGGACGATGGAGAATGTCTCCCGTTGAGAGGGCACCTGTGAAACACCGGCGTCTTGTTCTCGCGAGTGTTTCTCTCTCTGTGTGTGTGTATGTGTGCGCCCGCGCGGCTGTGGGTTAGTGAATATAGCCCTGGCGACGGCTACGTCCGACATCGCGCCCTTGCCTCCACCTCCTCCTCCTCCTCCTGAGAGCGCTCACGTGTCACGGTGATGCGATTTGTTTGGCTAATCCTGCTGCTACGGCAGCCAATGGCCAATGGCGTGTTGGTCTTCGGACGTTTGTGGCCATTTTCTACACGAATGATGCAACGCTCACATGCCCAGCCATGCGCACAGCAATCGCTCAGGTTTTTGGCGCGAGCTTTGACGATGCGATGGAACGAACGCCAACCACTCTTAACGAATCAGACCGTCCGGGGGTTAATTTGCTAATGTGCCCTCGTCGAGTCGTCGGCACAAGGCTGACTTACAGTGTGACCAAATGTCTACGTCCAAAAGGCAAATTCGGCGACGAGACTAAATTAATTAACCCGTGGCAGCAGGGGGACGAGGAACTACACAGGTTTCCAAAGGGTCATATGCACACGATATGTGACATTTTCGAGCTGTGGAGTCTATTTAATATTGTTGTCCGAGCCATAAACTTGGACAAAATAATAATTGCAGACTGAAATGAACGGGTTTCCTCCCATGTCTCTCAATCCATTCACATGTTAAAAGTTGGCATGACTGTCAGTCAAGAATGCTTACTTCATTTAGAAGGGGACTTGGAGCAAAAGCAGACGGGCTAGAGGTAACTTCTAAATTAGGAGCGAAATTATTCCTGAAATGAAACCGAAACTTTCACACCGGCCTGGACGGATCGCATAAAGTCAAAGAGTGGTAGAAATTTGAAAAAAGGACCACGGTGAAACTTAGAGGGCCCAAACCTTAACTGATGACATGGAAGACAGTTACTTCATTGCACAATCTCTTAGCCAGTATCTGAATGTAGGTTTAGTGTAAATAGTGAAGCACGTTACTTCCAAAGACAGAGGACGTCGGGTAGTTCGGTCCCGACTCATCTGCTGTTGTCAGTCCACCTCACCTCGATGGCAGCAAGTAAGTCGGCAGTTGCTGTATCAGCCTCCATTGCCTGTGCAAGTAATACCTATCGATTATCGATCGCTAGTCGCCAGGCCCCGCTCGTGTGGCTGCTGGGTCAGATCTTCTAGAAAAAGCAGATTCATTCGTATTAATTTAGTGCAATCAGGGTACATTAGCAAAGGCCTATCAAATGCACATAGTATAAACAACAATAATAATAATCGTTTATTTAGCGCCCTGAAGGCTGCATTTTCCGCTGTGCCAAAGAGCTAATAAAATTCGCATTACCAATGTTCCTAGTAAAAAATTGCAAAAAATTACTTTTTAAATAATGTTCACGTGCTAGCTCTCTTGAATGTTTAATTTTGATTCACATGACACCCCATCTGGCGTATAAGCGGAGTTGCAAAAGACGACTTATTTAACAATTGTTTCTTTGGATGTAAACGGCAGACACTTTACTGTTGTGTTTTGCAGTGGTCTGAACTATAGGACTTATAATATGAAGAAAGTTCGATGGAGAAAAAATCGAAAACAAGCATGTACAGCAGAATTTATCGGGGCCAATAAATTTCGTGACGGCTTTTCAACTGCAACCCGTCTCTGCATAACATAGGTAGCGAATGAAAGCGCACAGCAGTATGAATTTGTACAGAATGGCAGTGCGTAGGAGCAAGGTCAAAGTTCAAAATAATCAATAATTAGATAAGAGGTCCACATAAGCATCAAAAAGGAAAAGGGGGCAGACGAAATGTTAACAACAAATCACAGTCAGGGGAAAATAGAGGCGTGAGATTACCAGGGCAATTGCAGATTGATCACGTGATCTAACTGCTTGCAAAGGTCTGGTTTCTCCCTCCGTATTTAGGATGCTTCCAAATAACGCAAGGTTCGAGTTGTACGTGCTCGGACAAGTACTCGAAAGGATGCTTTAGGGTCGACAACATGACCGCTATCTAACTGCTGGTTAATGTTCATGAAACATACGTGTATCATACAGAAGAAGACAAGAGATTCATACCGTTTTAAACTAAGGAAGTCATTGTGCAAAAATTCTACGGACGACTATTTCCCTCTGAGTACAGATGAAACTATCATTAATCTGTCTGACATCAAACTTAATAAGCTACAATCAGAGGCTTTTTCACTAGGACTTGACTTTTGCATTCCAAACAGGAAATTAAACCCAGTTGAAATTGAGGCTCAGTTTGAAGACTTGAATTCTCAACTGTCTGACTTAGTACCCAGATCCACTGACGATGTCGGCTGGTTGAAAGCAAAATTTGTGGACATTGCTCATCAGTACGGTAAAGCTCCTGTAACACCACGGACTCCATTAACCAATGAACACATAGCTGCCTTATCCGCATTGAAACGTCATAAACAAATAATAATTTCTAAGTTGTTATTCTTAACCGAAAGGACTATGTGAGGAAAATGAAGTGCATCTTAGATGATCAGAGCGAATTTCGTCTAGAGGCGCCTGGGAAAGATGAAACCAAGACATTGGAAGACTCAGTCTGGTAAAAGGTTCAAAAGTTGTTGGACAAAAACCTGATTGATACTAAAACCGCACTTATCCTAAAACCGAGAGGTACACATATCCCCAGACTATATGGTCTACCAAAAACGCATAAAAAGGACATACCTTTACGGCCAATTCTCTCTATGTCTAATTCATCTACACACAGACTAGCAAAATGGCTGGTCAAGGAGCTAGAACCAATTCGGCAATTGTTTTCCACCTACACGATAAAAGACAGTATTCACTTCATTGAAGAAACTAAGGACCAGAACATCGCCGACAAGTGTATGATCTCTTTAGACGTGGAATCCTTATTTACCAATGTACCATTGGTTGAAACAATAGATGTTATATGCGCCCATGCGTCCAAAACCCGACTCTCCCCCGAACTACTACGAGATCTGTTGGTACTTTGCACCAAAGATGTTCAATTTCTGTTTAATGGGAAACTTTACAGACAAATTGACAGAGCCGCAATGGGTAGTCCACTTGGGCCAACCCTCGCCGATGTTTTTATGGGTTACCTAGAAGATAAGGTGTCCTCAGAATTAAACATGACAACATTATACAGGAGATACGTGGATGATATATTCACGATTATTGATAACAAGGAAGACGCCTCCGACCTACTTTGCCTGATGAATAATCTGCATCCTAAAATCAAATTTACGATGGAAATCGAGCAGTTTAACAAGTTACCCTTCCTGGACGTCCTCATGTTTAGAGAGGATGATGGTTCAATAAGACGCTCCGTCTTTCACAAGACTACGTGGAAAGGGCAATACCTACATTTTAAAAGCTTTGCGCCAATACAATGGGAACGTAATCTAGTACATACTCTTTTTTTCAAAGAGCGAGAAATATTTGCTCCAGGGAGACCATAGATACAGAAACTGCCCGTATCAAAGAAGCCTTACTTAATCGTGGTTATCCTGCACGCTTCATTCAGAAGTACAGCAACCATTTACGGCCAAAGTTGACGGAACAGTCCGTTCCGAAGAAGCCCGTTATAATATGTCTACCTTTTACGGGTGACAACGTCTCAAACACAATCAAGCGACGCTTGCGTTGCACTATAGAAAGAACGTACAACGCAGCAGAGCTTATCTTCATCAGTTCCACAAAAAGCCTTCCAATTAACCGGGCAAAGGATGCCTTGCCAATGCACGCCACCCCAATTGTGTGTGGAGAAAAAATCAAAGACGACCCTTCAGACTTCTTTCCTGTGCGGACTCAGACACATGAATGGGTATTGTGGTCAGTCTGTGTAGCACATCCGAAAGGGAAGGGACGAAAATGACGGTCTAGCTGAATTTATTAAACCTGACGTTAGTGCGCGCCGCTCGTTAACATTACGAATCCTCTAATTTCTCTACCTGAGCATCCAAATCGTTCGGCTATCCCAGTCAGATCCTATCTGGTAGACTCGTGGCCAGTTTATCGTATTATTGTACTGAAAAGCAGAACTGTTGCTATTAAGCCGCAGTCGTATGTCCGACAGATAGCAACATCCAGAAATTTAGGAGAGCAGAAATATAGAGACACAGTCCAGTTGATAAAAAAACCCACGTGGATACATAGGCAGAGGTGATGCTAAAAACTGAGTCCAGTATCTAGTAATTGTCAGGATTTCAAACCTGTTCTGGCATTGAACACTCAGGTGGACTTGAAATTACCGTGCAAGCACGAAGCGCCTAACCTGTTTATCAGGTAAGGGTCACGCCGGCGAGGACATGCGAGGGCATGCGCTTAACACACACACGCGCGCACGCATATGCAGTGGATAACAAACCATTAAAAAAAACCTTCTAATCACTTACCCCGCTGTCAATTTACGGGGAGCATGTTTATGTAGATGAAGCATGGCCTTGTAGACGCGTATTGACCTTGTATTGATGACGTCTGTCCCGGTGGTCTGAACATCTTCTTCGTTTTTCTTCTCACTAAATATTTTTAATTGTGTGTAACCCACAAAGTAGTGATTGCCAGTAAATTCGGCGATGATAACCATGCACACATTTAAGAAATGGAGTTCGGCAAACGTACCCTTTCGATTATATGTCATCAGGCCTCTACACAAGCTACCCCATTTCTTCGTCCTAGGGTTAGGCTGCTCGGTAACAATCGCGAGATGGCACCCAAAAAAATCCGTCCAACAAAAGCAGCCTGTCTTACGGGACAGGTAGTAAAGGGAGTTTTATGAGTGGTAGCAGGTCGGGATGTACGATGCTAGCCGACGGAAAGCCTTATTTGAACAGGTGAATGATCGAAGTTGGCCCGCTCACCGTTCCGTTATTACAAAATGAGTCGAGAAAGACAGCATAGTGGTAACGGACGAGTGGAAGGTATATAATCGTCTTCCCTCAGAAGGTTATCTACATTTCTCTGTTAACCACTCAAAGAACCTCAAGGACCCTACTACTGGACGGCACACCAATCCGATTGAGGCATACTAGAGTAGACTTAAAAGGAAACTCTACGGGGGAGGGCCTGTATGTGGTCGAGCTGTGTGGGCTCACATAGACCAAGTACAGTATCGTCTTTGGTTTGGCCTCAATGCCATGTCTTTGACAGATGCCTAGGAACTGTTCCTGTCCCATTTTGTGCAGACTTATCCTATTTAAAAGTGATTTTGTTTCGTAATAAACTGTCATAATGCGAATGTATGCCGTATATTCAGGTATACGTGTGTAACTATGGGGAAGGTTGGGTAACAGCGACCATCGTCCATGTAAGTCCATGTAACCTGCGATTTTCGTTCGGCCAGTCCTTGTTAGGCCGTCGGGGAACGTTCAAGTAGTGCGTGAAAGTAGGCCTGCAACCGTTGATATAGCCTGAAGGCGTTTGCGTCCACTGTTAAAGGTATTATTTCTAGGCAACGGATTTTTTTGGGTGCCATCTCCCGATTGTTACCTTCAGTGTCGCCGCCGCCACCACCACCGCTACCACCACCACCACCACCACCACCACCACCACCACCACCACCACCACCACCACCACCACCACCACCATCACTGTCGTCATGCCAGTCTGTAGGCAGGGCGCCGTCGGTCGCGGAGGCAATTTTTATTTCTTTCGCCGAGGTGCTCTGTTTTGGCATCATTCAACTAAGAGGCTCACTCCCGATTCTTGGCAAATGAGGCATGACCATGGGCGGGTTCTGCCTTTACGCTAACCGTTTATGACCAAACCCATCGAGGACTGCAGGGGATCCTTAGTGAGGCCTTTATGACACTAACCTACGGGAGGTCCGGGGACCACCCTGTTTCTTTGAAGCGCGTCTTGTGTGCGGTTAGAGATCAGGTCGTGTGTGACGCGTGTAAACCGGCTACTTGGCTTTTTAATCCACCAGGTGCACACCCATATGCAGTCTTAATTTCGTCTTATTACCGAAAAGTGGTGTGTGATGGTGGAGCGAGATAAGTACCTCGAAAGTCTTCTTCACTACAAACAAGTTTATGCGGGATTCGCCATTGTCCCTTCTCTGGAGTAGCAGTAGTCTTCATTGTTTGAGGGACGTATGGGGTCTGGTGGGCCGAGGAACCTCGTTGCGTTCTTACATCCACGTCAAGCTGATTGATATGTCTGCCAAACCTCAGGGACCCTACCAGCGGACGGCACACCAATCCGATTGAGGCATACTAGAGTAGACTTAAAAGGAAACTCCATGAGGGAGGCCCTGTATAGGGTCGAGCTATGTGGGCTCGCATAGACGAAGTACAGTATCGTCTTTGGTTTGGCCTCAATGCCACGTCTTTCACAGATGCCTGGGAACTGTTCCTGTCCCATGTTGTGCAGACTTATCCTATTTAAAGGTGTTTTGTGTTATGTAATAAACTGCCATAATGCGAATATATGGCGTATATTCAGGTGTACGTGTGTAACGATAGGGAAGGTTGGGTAACAGCGACCATCGTCCATGTAACCTCCTGCGATGTTCGTTCGGCCAGCCCATGTTAGGCCGTCGCGAAAAGTCCAAGTAGTGCGTGAAATTGGGCCTGCAACCGCTGATATAGCTTGAAGGCGTTTGAATTCACTGTTAAAGGTGGTATTTCTAGCTAACGGATTTTTTTGGCTGCCATCTCCCGATTGTTACCGGCTGCTCTTTGAGACCCCTTATACGTGCACCTGTCCCTTCACTTGCTTCTGTGGGGCAGGTTGTGTTGGTCTATCTAAGCGGATGCGAAAGCCTGGCTAAATCACATTACGGAAAAGTCCATCTCTAGCGCCACGGGTAAGACGTCAGCTAAGCATTCTGTGTCATATATAAAGTGTCGGCGAAACACTAAGTTCATGCGTGAATGGATACTTGCGAGGGTAAGCCAACGCAGCCTTGTGCTCGCCCAAAGTGTTTATACAGGTCCTAAGGCTCCCGTGGCCGAAGATAAACCCAACGTATGTGTCCACACCTCCTGCCCTGTCGCGTTACAGGGACGAAAGAGAGACATGGCTAATTATCAGACACCTTCCCCTTCTTCTCATCCTCCCCCCTAAAGCCCCTGACAAAACTTGACTACAACCCCTGACCTCTGAACCTCCTCAACTCTCTCGCCCATACTTAATGTCTGTTGACCGTTCGTACTTTTGCTACTCTGCCCTCCCTTATATTACTGTACAGGCTTGACGATGAATAATCGAATGCGTACGTTTACCGAACTCGAATTCTTAATTGCCACTAAAGTTTTTTCCTATACGCTCTTTGCAGTCGATAGAGCCTTTGAAATGGGCAATTTTGTCTCGGTTCCTGAGTGACTCTAAAATATGCGCAATTCAGCACTTTGGAGTCACTATGTGTTGTCGCGAACCGCTAAGGTTTTTAAACTCGCACACGTATGCGTTTTCTTCATCACATCTTTTGGCTTTATTTGTTGTTTTGGCAAGGGCAACATGTAGTCATAAGTCCTTTTGGTCAGATATGGCTATATAGCCGCAAATGAGGTAAACAAACCCAATCAGTGGTAATGGAGTTTTTTCAGGTAGGACCGGGAAGCAGAGGCGACGAGGTCAGATAAATGTATGCGAAAAAAAGCTATTGGGAATGCACGGTTGTAGTTTGAGTGGCTTATAAATAGTTGCCCTAAGCCCTAACCCTGACCCTTACCCCTAACCCTGAAGCATCCAACGCAAAATGGAGAAGGAGACGACAGGCTGAAAGTCGAGAAGGACCATCGGCATTGGGTCAAAAAAGTGGCCAAGGCAACAAAAAAACAAGACCGCCAGCAAAACACACACCGCAAAGCACAGCAACACCATGCCAAAGCAATCACACCAATTAAAAATAATTAAGTAGGTCAACAGTGCTGTGTCCATCAGATTCGGCTACATAACCATATCTTGCCGTTCTTCCAAAGTACCTGGAGACGCGTCCTGTGTGCTGCGTAAGTCTACTACCTAAGAGAAATTAATTCACGTTCAAGGCACCGTCTCTGCGATCACCGCGCTCTAGGGTACACGGTGGACGTTGTCGGCAACGGCGGTTGGACTGCCATGTATGTTTTTCAAAGTCTAAGGAATGCTCTACGGGGTTAAACTGAAGAAGTAAACAAATGATTTATAGAAAATAGCAGTCATCCATATTTTATTTTAGCATATGTTTAAGGCCCGTGGTTTTTTAAAGTTTGAAATTTATGTGAGATACTTATTTAATGCTCGGTGCATTGGGAGAATTCATACTTCTCCTCAACTGCGGGGGCTCTTTCATAAAGGTAAAAATTTCAAATAATGTCACTTATCACCTTAACATATGATGAATTTGCAAAAAAGACATAGAAACTTGCTCGGTTTATTGGAGGAATGATAGGAGGGTCTGCTGGTGACCACTAACATCGCACCCCTGATCCCCATCGCCACATCTACCTGTCGAGTCACTGTAGTGACTTAAACCTCAGGGCTCCACAAAGCTGAAACGAACTTTTCCTTAAGGGGTAGATCCCTTCTTGAAATAAACAACCACACATTACTTTCCAGGCTGGTATCCAAGTAGAAACCGTGAATTCAGTTGGTTTTAAAGACGCGGATATACATATATCAGGCTGATTGCCGAAGTGGTCCTTCAACGGACAGAACTTTTGGTGTTCACTAAGTATCAACCAAAGTTCTGGGCTCGTTACGTCGATGAAACTTTCGTCATTGTCAAATCATCTGACATGAAGCACCTTAAAGAATTACTGAATTCGGTTGACCCCAGTATCCAATGCATAATGGAAGCCGAGACTAACGACCAACTTCCCTTCCTGGATTTCCTTGTGAGCCGGTGTGCAAATGGGCAATTACAAACTACCGTTTTCAGAACAGCCACCACCACAAGACAAATGGTCTACTTCAACAGTAATCACTCCCTGTCTCACAAACGCAGATGTGTTCGTACTCTATTCCAAAGAGTTGAAACACACTGCAGCACATCAGTCGACAAAAGACCTGAACGACAATATCTTCATGACATCTTTCGGGCCAAGGGATACCCTAATTATTCTGTCAAGCAAAGCAAGCGCCGATTGAACAGATGACAACCACAAGAAGAACAATCCGAGGTCTGTTGGACTATTCCTTACATTAAAGGAGTATCCGAGACGGCTTCACGACTGTTACAACCCGCCAGAGTAGGCATTGCCCGTTGACTCCAGATAACATTTCGTCGCCGTTTGATGCAACTCTAGGACACACTGCCACCCACTGAAACCTCCGCAAATGTCTATCAAATACGTTCTAACGATGGAGGCTGCAAATGCGTTGAAGAAACCGGAAGGACATCGTAGACACGTCTTCACGAGCACAAAGCGGCAACTCGGAGACTAGACCCGAACTCACAGTTTGCGACTCATTCGGAGAAACGGGTCACTGTTTTGACTTCTAAGGAGCAACTGTCTTAAACCTGGGCATCTCAAAGACAAAACGTATCACACTTGAGGCTTGGTACTCAGATGCCCACTCCATCAATAAGCAGCTAAACCTTCCTTCGGCCTATGAAGCTTTACGTCACTACACACCCCATGACCAAAAAAAGACGGTCACACGGAGCTCAAGAATACCGAGCAGACACGCCCCGTCGTCCAATTCACCCAAAAGGAGAGCACAGGTGCAACCGACCTCATTGGGTGACGACACGCAACACAGGAGACCGCCTACATTCGCGGACAAAGACCAATAAACCAAGGCAGCGAAATAAAAGAAAAATCGGTCAACCCAAGGTCAACTAGTTCGGCCGTTTATTCGAAATTCTGGTCGATTCCTTGCGCGAAAAGCATTGATAATGTAGAGGTGGCAAGGTCCTCCGAAACATCAGCCACTCAATTCCACTGATCCGATGAGCTCTTTATCATTCATAGAGGGTTTTACCTTTCAGTACCGGGTCAGTGGTTTCGTAGACCTAGAATAGGCCTGCCTTGGGAGTCAAGAAAGGAAGATTGGCCATTAACTGGCGCATCTGCTGGAAGCGCTGGTGGTGCATCGGACTAGGTACAACCCCCTCATTACAGGCGGCTTACGCCGAATTCCGTGGGCTACGGTTCATGTAAGGGTTAAATGTGGGACGCTGGCATTGTTTCCTTTGGAGACTTTGTCCAAGGTCAACTGTAGTACCGCGGGGGGATACTTATTCGCTCGTCCAAACAGAGCGTCCTCTATGGTACTAATGTAGACCGATTAGAATAGAGTTTGGACCGGTGGCTGGATTATGCCTAACAGCAGGTTTTTCCAGATGTATTTTAATCATTTCGCACAGTCTTTCTCTGTGGAGTGTCTGAGGAAACGTAAACTTCAAGCTAGTTTAATTATATCCCTACTATCATATGTAATTTTCCCTATTGCTGTTGTGCCAGTACCCTGTGGGGGGGGGCAAAATATGTCTCTGTTCGTCAGAATTTTTCTTCAATTCCGTAGCATGAGCAGAATGTTTGAAACACCCCTGTTGTTCTAACTTTAAAATGTTAATCATCATTTGATGTACCCATTTGGACGTAGAATGTTGCCTATAGGCGACTGCCAAGTCCTTTTTAATAAGCTTGCTAATGGATCAATTTATTTGGACCCGTCTGTGAAAAAGTCGATGCCTTGGTGGGATTCAAACCCGCGGCAACAAGGGGAGGTTTTAGTACAGCCAACGCT